CTGTGATAAAAACAGCATAGTGCTTGCAAAGAAACATACCTGAGGACTAGTGGAACAGATTAGAAGATGCAAAAACAACTCCAGACACTCAGCCACCTCATTTTCAACAATGGAACCAAAACCCCTCACTGGAGGAAAGATAGATAGCCTCTTAAATAAATGGTGCTGGAAAAACTGGGTTTCAGTTTGCCAAAGATCAAAACTAGACCTATATCTCTCACCATACACTAAACTAAAACCAAAATGGATTAAATATCTAAATATGAAAACAGAAACACTAAACCAGCTGGAAGAGGTTAGATAGAACTCAACATTGGTGTAAGAAAAGATTTTATGAACAAAACCTCAGTTGCCTGTAAACTAGCACAAACAATCAACAAGTGGGATGTCTTCTTATTAAAATACATCTGCACAGCAAGAAAAATGACCAACAGTGTGAAAAGACAATGCACAAGGTGGGAAAAACTTTTCACCAGCTCTTCCTCAGACAAAGGTCTACTATCTAGAATATATAAAGAACTAAAAAAAAAAATCAGACCTCCCAAATTTTAAGTCCCAGTCCAAAAATGGGCATCTGAAATAAACAGACATTTCTCATACAAAGGAGAAATAGCAAATAAACATATGAAAAAATCTTTAAAATCACTGATCATTTGAGAGATGTAAATGCAAACAACACAGATTTCACCTCACCCCAAGAATGGCTGCTATCATGAAATTAACCAATAACAAATGCTGATGGGGCTGTGGGGAAAGAGGAGCCCTGCTCCACTGCTGGTGGGAGTGTAGACTGGTGCAACCACTGTGGAAATCAGTATGGAGATACCTCAAAGAACTAGGATTAGAGGTCCCATTTGACACAGCGATTCCCCTGCTGGGTAAATTCCCTAAAGAATTAAAAGAATCATACCACAGTGATATACGTGCACTTATGTTCATAGCAGCACAATTCATAATAGCAAAAACTTGGAAGCAGCCCAACTGCCCATCAAGAGGAGAATGGAGAAAGAAAATGTGTGTATGTGTGTGTGTGTGTGTGTGTGTGTGTTTTAAATAAAATGGAGTACTACTCAGCCATAAAGAATGAGAAACTAGAGACATTTATAGCTAAATAGATGCACATTGAGGCTATACTCTTAAGCGAAATAAATAGGACATGTGTAAATACTAACTAGTTTCTCTAAGTGAGAAACTGAAAGTGTAAGTAAGGACTAAAGGTATAATAAATAATGTGAAATAAGAAGAAAAGGTGCAAAGGGAAAGTGGGAGAGATAGGGCAAAAGAAAGAGGGGAATGGAATTAATATGAGAAAAAGAAAAATGGAAACAAAGTCTTTGTAGATAGGGAGGGGTGGAGGGGTTGAAGGGAGGGCAGGGGAATGGGAAAAAATAAGAACCAAGATGGATTATGCAAAGGTGCAAATTTCCAATGATGAATGTCATTGTATACCTTAAATGTACTAATAAAATTAATTTTAAAAAATGACTTTTTCATGCCACAGTTAAAATCATGTATAAAGTAGAATCAGCATTTACACCATGGTAAAGGAAAGACGATTGGACTGAAGGTGTTATGACTTGGACTCCTGCCTTGGTGTGTCTGAACTGACAGGTGAATAACAACCCTTACATTTAGTAGAACGTAGAACTACATAAAACAAATATAATAAGAAACCTCAAAGAATCAGTGAGAAGAAGTGATTAATAATACCTAAGAGCTTTCCAGTAACTCAACAGGTAATGTCAACATATTTATTTCAGCTGAAACAGAAATAGTAACAGATGATATAAAAATCACAAAGTTCAAAGTCTTTGCCTTTTAATATTACATTTATATATCAGAACAAATAAAGTTGTAGGAAATTATGGCTGTGTTTCAATACTAACAGTATCCACGTTGTTGTTTTCATTGGCATCTCTCGAATAACCAGTGATGTTGAACATTTTTTCATATGTTTATTTGCTATTTCTCCTTTGTTTGAAAAATGTCTGTTAATTTCAGATGCCCATTGTTGGACTGGATTTTTAATAAGAAGACATCCCACTTGCTGGCTGTTTGTGCTAGTTCACAGGCAACTGAGGTTTTGTTCATAAAATCTTTTTCTATACCAATGTCTGTTTTCTTTTAAATTAAGCAGGGAGATAAGAGTAAACTTAAGACATAAATATAAGTCTGGGTGGGTTTAGGCTAAGTTCTAGATTGACGAGTCAGAATCCTTTTCTTTAATAGATTTACAGAAGTTTACCTCTTTAGAAAGAATTTGTTGGTGTCAGGAGAGTTAAGCTAAATGCTCACTGCTGGACAGCTATATTTGAACTCCACAAACTTCTTTGCAATTTGAAAACAGACATAGATGATATGTCTGTTTCAGCAGAATACTAAACAGACCCCAAAATAACCAGTTATCTTGAGTGTGATTACAGTATATTTTTATGTCATAACAGATGGTTAGGCTATGAGAAACAACCAAAATCCAAAGACTAGTAGCCCCTTCCATGAAAATAAGGAAACTCTTTGTAATCCTCGTACCCAATTCTCTAAACATTTGCTTAACTCTTTTATCATTCAGTAAGTGACCAGAAGAACATGCTTTGATCAGTCCTTGAAGGTGGTGACCATAAACTGATCCTGACCAGTTATTATTGAAGGAAGTAAGATATTCATAACTCATCTCTTAAATTATACTAATCCAAGTAGAAATGGAAGTCCGTCAGATAATAGAGCAGCAGTGACAAATTGTCCACTCCATGATAATTGCACCAATCACAAATCAAGAGCCCAATAAGTATGTACTAATTTATGCAAACATTTGTTCAACTGTAAGCAATCTAGTTGTACTTGTGTACAAACCATATTATTCCCATAATCCTCCACATCTCATAGATTTTACCCTAACTTAATGAATAAAGCATTTACAAAACTCAATCATAACTGAAAGGATTTCTCACACTGCTCACTGTTACTCACATATTTTTCACCAAAAACAATTTGACTACAGTCACAGTTATGATATTGCAATAACCCTCATAAGCCCTGTCACTTTAAGTCAGTCAAGTCAGGATCTGTTTGCAAAATATAATCAAATGTAATTTTATGATTCAATAAATTGTATATAAATCTGCTATTATTGGTTTTCATTTTCTTTTCAATACCACTCATTTCCATTTGCTCACTGGTAGTTACTCTGACATTCAAATGCCATTATTGCCCTCCATTGTTATTCAGATGGAGCTGTTTTATTAGATCTTCTAACACTGTATATAGGGCTTTGCTTCTTTAACAGTAATAATTCCATTTCTAAAGGAAAATAGAAGTGATTGCACACAAAATTCTGAGCTTTTACTTTATGTTAAGTCAAGTCTATGCCTGCAATGGGATTTTAATTTAATCTTATCTGAAAAGACCAAAAGGTTTTTATTAGCTACCTGAAGAAAGTAGAAAAAAAGCCTTTCCATGCACGTTTTTAGTAGTTCAAAGAGCCAGTGAAGCCACCACTTCTCCACAATGATGTGTTTAAGATACCCTTACTGACCAAATTAAATTCTAGATTTCTTTCATCATTTGGCAGTCATCATATTTTTGTAATTTTATCTCCAGATAAATAAACAAAATATTTTACATAGTTTAAGTTACATTTCAGTTATGTATCATTTTAAAAGTAGTTTTAATAGACCTATGGAAAATATAATTAAAAAGGCATACAATCATAAATGTGTAAATGCAGATTTTATTAATACATTAGTTTTAAAAATGCCATTAGAAACTAAGTCGTAGCTCTCAAAAACAAAGCTAGCAAATATTCTGTCAGTAAACATAAAAATAACCAGTGTCTGCTAGTTGCAAGCTTAAAAATTGAACATTTGTTGCATTCTGCCAGCAATTTTTTTATGTATAGAAACAGAGCATTTTCTACAACTACTACAAAATATCAGTACTCTAGCAGAAAAATTATATGAGCAAAATAAATTAAGCATGTTTCTCAAGAACTACAGCTACTTAGGAAAGATGAATTTTGACGTTGCAATAGTGAATTTGAGTTTCCAAACAGAACTTGTTTAAAAACGGTGCATGAAGATGAGCCAACCCCTCCACATTAGTGATGGGTTTAGATGAGGTTTGGGAAGAAAGTTACTCAGTTAGTAAATGTTCCCCCACCATCTCATGTACAGAAAGAACACTCCCTCCAAGAGTTTGGAGTCTCCTGACCCTTGGTGGGACACAGGACCTTATATGAAATAATTATAGTATAATGTGAAGCATCTTGTAATTAAGCCCTGGCATATTTCAAAAAACTAAGAAGTATAGAATTTAGAAAAAAATCAAGTCATGAAGTAGACCCTACAAACAACCTGACCACATAGACCCTAAAAATCTAAATAATGACATCACAACCATCCTTGTTAGTGTGATGACAGAGGCCTTAGGTAACGAGTAAGTGGCTTGGAGATAGACCTCTTATGCTTTCAATTTCTATTTCTTATATACTTGCAAAATATTCTTATATAGCATTTGTTACCTAGAGTCAGAACCCATGACATAAAACAAAAAGCAAATATCAGAGATCTACACAACAGCATTTCTAAAGTAGTCCCTTTTAATATGAAAAGAAGTAGAACTTTTAAGTAGACATGTTCTATCTTTTAATTAGAGAAAATAATCTTTAAGTAGGCAAGGATCAGAGAATTTGTGTGCTATGTGCCACCGCTCTGTAAGTGAGCTATGTGGCCCTGAACAAGTTAATTTCTTGACAAATTTCAGGATTCCTACCATCGTTCTACCTCTGAGCAGATCACAGATTCAACGACAAATTTTGGCGCTGTTCCTTTACTTTGACTAAAAGAATGACAATCTCTAGGTAACCTCTAGTAATTTTTACCACAGAAGTATCCCTGGCACCAAGTAAAAGAAGATGCCTTTTTCCAACTTCTGCTCCATGATCAAGATCAAAGCAGTGGAGACCGCTACCTGTGCACACAGGTGACAACATGAATTTAACTTACCTCCAGAGACTTCTGTGTTGCTCCTCAAGTTGAGTTAGCAAATGTTCGATGTATTTATTAGAGTCCATATATTCCTGTACAAAAACAAGACAAAGAAAAACCTCATTACAATTGTGAACATACTCTATGGTTCCATCCTTTACAAGGGATACTTTCCACAAGATAATCATGTCTCCCTCCAAGGAGTGCTAGGAGTCTGTGCTTCAATGATTTACAAGTATAGTCAATGGAGATCAATATTGTTTTCCTCCGTATTATGTGATATTTTTTATGAACAAATCTCTGAGAAAATGACAGTTTTATTGAGTCAGCATAAAAATCCTCCTATTTGCAGAAAACAGCCTACATTTCATATTTATCTACACCAGAGACTGTGTACTCTCTATAGAAGTTAATGAGCCAATATTACTGCCTACCTTATAAGAGTAAGAATAAATAGACACTAAAGGCCTTGAATTTACTCATTTTGTGACAGTAATTTTTAAATAAAAATATTATTTTTAAAAGTTATAGAAATATATATATATATATATCATATATATTCCTTTTAAATGGTCATTTGTGTCTACTGATAAGCACACCCACTATCCTTCTTTAACTTTTATATACACAAAACATTCTTTTTACTTTAGAAAATAAATCTTTGGCTTTTAGGAAGACATAAGAAAGTATGGTATATTTTTTATATTTAGTGTGGAATATATATATGTATGTGAGTGTGTGTGTGTGTGTGTGTGTGTGTGTGTGTGTATATATATATATATATATATCGTATATATTCCTTTTAAATGGTCATTTGTGTCTACTGATAAGCACACCCACTATCCTTCTTTAACTTTTATATACACAAAACATTCTTTTTACTTTAGAAAATAAATCTTTGGCTTTTAGGAAGACATAAGAAAGTATGGTATATTTCAAGTTCTATGTGTATGTAATTTATGTAAATCATATCATATTATCAAGAAAAAAGCTCAAACAAAAGGATTCATTTTTCACAACAGAAATACACAAAAATGTAGGTTATTATATCGGATTTTTAATTTGTGATTTCTGAATATTAAATTTTGGATGATAATTGTTTCATTCTGATCTGCTATTTCTTTCTCTTTCTGCTTTGAAGATCTTCCCTGCAGAATTCTGCTGCTATAATACAAATTCCTGTGACTAAAATAGTGTGTAATGATTTCAACATTAAGCCTCCCATGAAACCTACTCTTTTATTTCTGTGGATTTAAAATAAATTATGAGCTTTGATTAATATCGACATTTTTCTTCCTGAAATACAGATTTATTGTTAGCTTTTATATATAATCTATTGTTCCTATAGAAATATTCTCTATAAATTGGGGGAGGAGAGCTAGGAGTTGGTTTAACACAAAAGAAAAGACCGAGTCCTGAATTTTTGGACACTGGATCTATGTACATAGTCTTGAAGAAGCCATTTGAACTTTTCAAAATACTTTAGTGTACTAATTCTAAAATTAATTCCTCATTTAGCTAAAAAGATGTGATGTTAAAACATTATATTCTATTACAGAAGAACAGAGTTTTATGCCTTTTGAATAAACACTCATTTTTTAGGTGCCTACAGACCAGTTAAACAAGACTCCTGGGCATGTTAAAACCATAACAAACATCTCTACTGTTGCAAGAAGTTGCAAAGAACATAGTTTTAAGTGTCCTGGTCAGGGTTGATCATGATTTACAATGCTCCCAATTACCAAGGATATTACTTCTTAAGTACATATGACTGAAAAAGTTAGAAAAGCATTGTGTCCAAATAAAGATAAATCTTAAAGTCATTTATCCATCCTTCATTCAACAATTCTTTAAACACCTATGATATGCAAAATGTTACTGTAAGTTCTGTAGATACAGTACTATGAGGGAGAGAAATACTCTCCAGAGGATCTTAGATTCTGCCAAGTGAGATATAAACAAATAGTGAACACACTGATTTCAGAACAGGTATGTGCTGTGAAAGAAACAAGTGATAAGAGAGATCTGAAATGACAGCTATTTCACACATAGTCTTTGTAATAAGATCCTGAACAAATGATAAAAACTAAAATTTAAACTAAGACCTGGAAGAGAAGGAGGAGGTAAGCATACAGAAACAAGGAGCCAGAACACTGCAGGCAAAGGAATCAGCACATGCAAAAGTCTGAAATGCGCTATTTGAACAACAGAAAATCTGCCAGTGGAGGACCGGTAACAAGACTATGGTGGGTGTGGCAAAGTGAAGTTAGGGAGAGAGGCAGAAAGTAGATCATACGCAAGCCCTGGAAGGCAGTATAAATTAATGCAAATGCATCTGTTATTTCATTCATTCTGCTTAGCTCAACCCAGAGAATGACTCTGAAAGGTATAGTGATGACTAACTGATATGTTCTTTGAATCAGAGACAGGTTCAAATCCAGGTTGAATCTTACTTGCTATATTCCCCTGGGGAAATTATTTAATTTCGCCAATTTCTAATTGTTTCATTTTTGTGAAAGAAATAAGAATCAAAGGAAGTGTTAAAAGGGTCACCTGGTTTAAGAAAGTATATACCATCACATCTGCCAAATGATGAAGCAAGCTTTTATTCAGGGTACTATACACCACTTCTCAAAAAGAACAATCACTTAACAAGATGAAAGTATTATCTATTTTCTCTTCTATTACCAAACATCAGGATTTTTGAGTATGTAGTTTGTGAGCTAAAGTTCTGTTGAGGAGCATCTATATTACAGATATGGCAGAACATTTGGCCTCAGCTGAGCAGGCCACCCTGACTGCTGTGACCACAGGAGCTCATGTGTCCTGTTCCATGGCAGAAGATGGCATTTAGGGGAAGTTGAATCCATGGCAACTCTTCTTTGTCTCAGAGTAAACTATTTTCTAATTTATTTTAAAGCAGACTTGCTATTTTATGTCAGCAAGTTCTTAAATTATAGTTGCTGGATATTAGACTAGGAAGTTAGTCAGAGACCATTAATAATTCAGATTTCCAATTATTAAATGTAGTTGTCACTGGATTGTATTTTAAAAGCTATTTCAAATAATAATAATAGCTGTTTTAGTTTAAGCTATCTTCATCCAATTTCCCTAAAGTAACTACAAGAATCATTTTTTGTCTATGATTTGTACTTTAAATAACATTTTTTTTTTTCTGGTACTAGGGATTGAACTCAAGATCTTGAGCTTGTGAGGCAGGCACGGCACCACTGAGCTAAATCCTGGCCCCTTGAACATTTTTGCTATTCTTTTAAAATCATGAGACACAGTATGTTAACCATTGTTATTCTCTAATTATTTTGTTATGAAATTTTGGTTTTTTTATAGAAGATTGCTTTTAAATATTTTACTTATTAATATCTACTTGTATTACATTAAAGTAAAAAAAAGATGATTACAAATTTTAAATAACTTAATAATAGAAAACTGTGACTATACCTTCTCTCCTCCCATTACATTTTTATTTTCTCTCTTGCATGATTATGCTTGACTTAGACATTTGGTAATGCATACTACCTGCCCCCCATCCCACTCATGTACATGATAAGACAGAGGAAGAGAAAGAGGGTGGGGGAGGGAGAGAGAGAGAGAGGGAGGGAGGGAGGGAGGGAGAGAGAGAGCTCACATGTAGTTTCTGTTATATGAAACTACTTTTTTGCCTACCTACAAGAAATGAGAAAGATTTGGAATTGGAAAAGTTAGTTAACTAATGAGGAGTCCTTGTCATTCTGTAGAATTGAGGAAGAATTATTCTTTACAGCAATTTTGTCCCTGTTTGGAGAGTAACTGAGGAAATGGGGTAGGGGACTAGTAGCTATGGGGTTCGAGGTGGTACACAGTGCATGTGTAGCTCTAGTAAGTACAACGTAACAGTCTCAGTGACTACAACCAGAACCTTAGTAGGAAATGCGTCCTGGAGGTTATTGCACAGACTTGAATATTCCAAAATGTCAAAAACACAAGGAGAAAGAGGAGTGCTAGATAATTTCAGAATAAACAGAAAAAAATATAGACTAGAATCCATGAAAAACTACTTTAGCACAAAAGGAAAAATACCATCCTTAAGCACAAGATGGAATGACTCAGATAATAACTTAGGAGAAAAACGTGTATGTTTTATTTTATGAAAAGCTTTCTCATGTTTAGGAGTGTCCAGAAGACATGATTAGACACAGGTGCAGAAAACTTTAAATATGCTGAGATGGAAAGAGGATGAGATTTAAGATGATAACAGGGTGAAGAGTAAAGATAGTGAAATGAAATATAGTAAAAAGGCATCTGGATGAGCTAAGATTGTCCAGGTAATGTAAACAGCAATAATAGAACTAAAGTCTGCTATCCCTTTATTGTGATTTTTCCTGTGAAGCAAGTCTCACCACTATAAAATGGTGCTTTTGAAAAGACAGGTCTATTGGCACTGGAATATTTACATTGGTTAAAGGTACTTCTCACTATCTCATCTGGAAATAAATCAAACTACCCAACCTAGGTCAGGCACTTACATGCTCCACCCCTCTTCCATTTCTATACGCATTATACACTAGTGTATGTATGCACAACTGAGTTAGTGGACTAGGCCTCCCATAGCTATAAAAGAGAAGTCATCTCCACATTCTCCCTGGTGTCACTGTACACTATTTGGAACACATGCTCTATGAGACATACGCTTCCCAAATATTGCTTTGTCCTGTATACATGTCCCCTGTCACCGCAAACTTTATTATCTCTCAGCTTTCCTGATACAGATAATGGAATTGGCAATGAAAAAAAAAAAAAAACACACAGACACACAATCCTGGGAGGACAAACTTAATCTTCAGTAATTTAACAATAGAAAAGTACTGAAGGAAAGAAAGGCTCTAAGCTTGCACAAAGCTTTCCAAATACAGAGTTTAAAATGTTGGCTCTATAGATTCTGGCCACTATCAGTATTCACTGAAATTACATATAATGAAAAACCCTAAATATTATTAATCCCAATCAAATAGCACTTGTATAACACAATAACAGAAAGACATTCTCAGGTATTCATAGATTCAAAAAAATCTTAAAGCAATTAAAGTACATATAT